AAGACAGACATGTGAAGGTCCGGGTTGTACTTGCGTAACATTGATACATGAAATATATTATGGACTCTTGATAATTCTGGAGGTAGTACTAGCCTTTAAGTGGATGTCCCGAGCCTATCCAAGGTCTCAAACTATCCGATGAATAAGAGATTCAACTTCCCCCTCTTTCCAAACCTGGTGATACCCTTAAATGGGGTGATTTTAAGGAACACTCAATCACCGTTTTCAAATTATAAATCTCTCATTCGGGTGTCCGCATAACTTTTCTATCTACTCTTGGCTGTCTGAATATTCTTCCTGATTTTAACTATCTTCGTTGTGGTCTCCTCTACAAGATCTAGATCAATTAATTTTCTATCACTCACCTCTTTCCAATAGATCAACGACCTACAGGGTTGGCCATACAATGCCTCATACGGAGTCATGCCAATACTTGTTTGATAACTGTTATTATAGGTGAACTCTATAAAAGCCCGAAACTCAAAAGAAAATAAAGTCATGAATTAAATGTGAAAGTGAAACAATAAAGTTTAGAGTTTACATTCTTTACATAATAATTTAGAATACCCAATAGTGTTACGGGAATATCCCTTCTAAAAGAACAAACGAAAATTAAAGAAATGAACAAGAGGCAAATTATTATACCCGAGCCCAGAATTTGGCCCGCGATTAATTTTAAAACTTTAAAAATAGATAAAAATATAATTTTGAAATTATAAATTTTTTTAATGTGAAATTAAGGAAAAAATAGGTTAAGGATGAAATTGAAAATAATTTTGGGGAAAATGGGTGAAATTTTGGGTTCGAATGATATTTTTGAAAGAAAAATAAAAAACTGGAGGTCAAAACACAATTAAGAAAAACTGCATCACGTAGGACCACCCAGTCAGTAGCTCCAACGAACCGGAGTGCGCCACGTGACAAGGCACGCTGACTCGGTGCCACGCGGGAGGCCACACTGGCAATTTGCGTGCCCTCGATCGGACGGCCCGGATGTGTTCCTGCACACGTGGACAGTCCGGATCCATTCCCTCCTCAGGCACGATTGGACGGTCACAATTAAACGTGATGAACAGTTCATTCGTTTCCTCTTTAAACGCAATCGTACGATCGAGATCAAATCGCGATGAACAGTCCATATTTATTACCTCTTTAAACGTGATCGGATGGTCAAGATCAAATACGATGAACAATCTAGATTTATGGAAGACGGGTATACATATCTCATATCACACTAAACCCAAACCCTAGCTGCCAGCCTCCCGCAGGAGAAGAAGAACCAGTCGTTAGAGAAGGGAGCTAACTGCCGCTTGCCATGGCGCTGGAGCCACCTTCAATCGCCTAAAAAGATAAAAATTCTCCTATCCATTTAGAATTTGATTCCAAACACCCCCATGGCCAAATTGGAGGAAAAGGAAAGGTAGATGAGTCAGAAATTGCGAGCAAAGCCTGACGGCGCTGCTACAGGCAAAACCCGAAATCGCCTCTAATGAGTCCCTTCCCATTTCCCGTTTGGTGCGATTTTTCCACCATTGTGTTCACCATTCTGTTTTCTACAGGTTGACCGAAGAAAAATGCCCAGCCACGAAGGTGAGTCGGCGGAGCCGCCGCACAAAAAAATTTCGTCGTTGGTAGGTTTTCGTTTGTTGACTTTTTTTGGCCAACCGAGGTCCTCTAACATGTTTTCTCGCATAGATGGGTATAAAACCGGCCGAAACTTGCCAAAACTGGCCAAAAACAATTAGGTCGAGACAAACCACCTGTGGGGGACAGTGTTGTCGCTGGAGCATGGCGGTGCCACCATATCAGAATTTTGAAATTGGCCAAAAAAAGGTTTTTAACATTGATCTTGAATTTTTTGGAGTATTTTTAGGTACGTAAAGTGTGTTTTAATCTCTGCATAAAAATTCAGAAAACTCGGAGATTGCTAGTAGGTGCAACTAAAAGTTGGATGTTTTGGACACCAATTCGGGTAAGAATCCCTAACTTTATTCTTTGTTATGATATTAAAGCTTAATAATCGATAATATGGTATTTTGTATGATCTAAAAAATTTTGAGAATAATTACAGGTTACCAATGGAGGCAAAAACTGATTAGTTATTTATTTGTTGTACTGTTTAACTGATTGTTGAATTTACAAATTTAAAAACATGATTATATACTAGAATAATTAATTGATTCAATTGTGCTTCCTTGATATATATATATTGCTTGTATTGCATGATTT